CCCACTCCAACCCCAAAATTCTCAAGTCCAATCGGAGGTCGCGCTATGGCCAGCCTCTGTCTCCCTACGACCAAGATGACGACGAAGAGGTTTCTCGTGCTAGTGATGTGTCGGATGACGATTGGTTGCTCAATGTGAGTTTTTGTACTGGCTCCTGTGCTTGAGCTGCTGGACTTGGTGGTTGTCCTTTGGGCAAGTGTTTTTCTTGCTTTTGAAAGCAGAAAATTTGGTTTTTTAATATTTAACGTTCTGCTTAGAATTTGAAGTACCTTGACTTTTGTGAATGTAGTAACATTTGGTTTTTCAGTTTTTTATTAAAATTTGAACTTTGATTTGAGGCATGGATAGGAACAATTGTACAATTATGCTCACTGTGAGGTACCCATGTTTTGAAATACGTTAATTTGTAGTTTGTCTTTGTGGAATTCTTTATTGTGCCCTTCATTTGGTTGCTTAGGGGTTTGAGGTAAATATTTGTTTGTGGGTCTTTTCCAGTGTAAGAAGTGCATGCCAATTTCTTTCTGATTTACAAAGCAATGTGCAAAGAAAGATTAAGGGTTCAAGCTTTATCCGTTTTCTTTTTGCATATCATTATTGGAAACATTGCAAAATTGATTCTTGGACTTGTGGTAATTTATTTTCATGGAAAGATTAGTTTTGTATAAGTGTTTCTGTGACACAACTACCTTGGGTTTCCTTTGTTTGAAACATCATCTGGCTTTTCTTGTGGTTTGCTTCTCCAGGATGACTTTGCAGAAATTTCAGAGTTTGATGTTAATAGAAAGAGGTCCAAATCACACAAGGGATTTGCGAATGGTCATTCAGATGGCAGAAACAGTAAGCACACTTTAGAGAAAAGTAATGCAGCAAACTACTACAATAGTTCTAATCAAACAAATGGTGTCAGTTCCTTGGATGTACCTCGCAAGGGAAAGGTATCTTGTAGAGTGATATGACGAGCTGTCAAATTCTGTCATCAACTATACTATTTTTCTGGGAAGTTCTTATTTATTTTCTTTGATGCAGCTTTCTACAAGGAAAGCTATGGAGGATAGATTTCCTCGGCTATCAGAAGAGGTTGAATTGGATGAGAAGTGGTTACCTCTTATTGATTACCTTAGCACATTTGGGCTTAAGGAATCACACTTTATTCAAATGTATGAGAGGCATATGCCTTCTCTTCAAATAAATGTGTGCTCTGCAAAGGAAAGGTTGGAATATTTGTTGAGTGTTGGGGTCAAACAAAGAGATGTAAGAAGAATGCTTTTGAGGCAGCCACAAATCCTTGAGTATACAGTTGAGAACAATTTGAAGTCCCATGTTGCTTTCCTCATGAGTTTGGGTATTCCAAGTTCCAGAGTCGGGCAGATTATTGCTGCTGCTCCATCCCTCTTCTCTTATAGCGTTGAGAATTCATTGAAACCCACCGTGAGATACTTAGTTGAGGAGGTCGGGATTAAAGAAAAAGATTTAGGTAAAGTTGTGCAGTTAAGCCCTCAAATTCTAGTTCAGCGGATTGATATATCATGGAATACTCGTTTGAATTTTCTTTCTGAGGAGATAGGAGCGCCCAGAGATAGTATTGTGAAGATGGTTAAAAAACATCCCCAGTTCCTCCACTATAGCATCAATGATGGACTGCTACCCAGGATCAATTTCCTTAGGAGTATTGGGATGTGTAATGCTGACATCTTGAAAGTCTTAACTAGTCTGACACAGGTCTGCTTACTTTCTTTTATGCCCATCAGAGTACTTTTACTTTGTTTCTAATTGCTTGGGATTTATTTGTACTTGTGTCACAAGAAATTGTTTTTCTTTCCATATGCATGTATGTTAGTATGAGGTTTCTACTTCTTTTACTGAAATATCATGTTCTTAAGAAGAAGAAAAATAGCTTTCTTGCTGCTTCCCGCTTAACAAGTTAATTTTCTGAATCTTTGACCATTTTAAAGTTCCCTTTTGTACATTTCTGACATGTAGCCTTGCAGGTACTATCCCTATCACTGGAGGAGAATTTGAAACCCAAGTACAAGTACTTGGTCAATGAACTTCATAATGAAGTGCATTCCTTGACCAAATATCCTATGTACCTAAGCTTGTCTTTAGACCAGAGAATTCGCCCCCGACATAGGTTCTTGCTTTCTCTGAAGAAAGCTCCTAAAGGGCCATTTCCTTTAAGTTCACTGGTCCCCACTGATGAATGCTTCTGCCAGCAGTGGGCTGGAACTAGCTTAGATAAATATCTGGATTTCCGGCAGAGACTACTGCTCAAGGAGTTTGCCAAAAAATATGAAAGAAAGGGATAGCATCTTCTCTTAAAGGATGCCCGAGGTTACTGACCCAAGTGTTTGATGAACAGAGCAGCCTCCCTTTGCAACTTTGTCTGCGAATGAATTTCAATGTATGCCACTGTTAACAATAATTTCCATGAAGTTCAGAGTTTCTGGTTATTATAAACCTGGAGTAAGCAAGTTTCCAGGTTGTTGACAGTTTCCCGTTGGGATGGTTAGTTTGTTTCTCATGTGGAGTATATAGGTGGTACCTCACTCCACTCCGGTGCCGTTAGTTGTTCATACAGGAGCAGCTCCAGTTTTGTATACAACGTTACATTCTCAGGTCAAGGCATCTAGATGAGTATTATTTTCGAGGTTCTAACTGCTTGTGACCGAAAAGACAATAGACAACAGTGTATGCTTTAAGGTGATTTATTTTTTAATTGAACAAGAAAGGGTGGTTTCCAGGATAATGGATCTACCTTTTGAATGGTCGCATGTTTGATTATTTGTGCTGTATTCCTTTATGCTAGTAGACAAGTACAACATGATACATCTCTTCCTTACTGCCATTGGATGGCCTAATTACATTGTTTGATATGATTTTGTACTTTCTAATGGTTAATTAACTCATTGCAGGTTAGTAGTGTATTTGCATCTTCTCAACTCTCAAGTGGACAAAGGAGAAGCTTTGCTAACTGCGGTTGATTTAAAACAGGAGGGTTTGTTCTTCTACCGTATGCATTGTAAGTCGGATGAATTTTTGTTACTTGTTCATCCTCAAAATATACCCAGAGAGCAGGACTGCTAGTTATGAAACTTTTTGCAGGTTTTATTTTACTTTTTATTTTTATGCTTTTTTCAGCAGGCTGTTATGTATATTTTAGCCCTAGTGCTATGCGCTCATATTTTGGCCCTGTTTGGGCTTTTTATTAAATCTACAAGACAAAGAAAAGCAAGAAAGCAGCCAAATTGCATTGGAATTTTACAGGGAAAATTTGTCAACTTTGTATTTTGGAGATTCAACCCAACAAGTCAAGGTCATCATCTTATTCGATCAAATTGGATTTCATTGGTTAATTTGAGTGGATTGGATTGAGTTTTAAACAATCCTAATAAATTTGGGACGCAATAACGTGATTAATAAGCAGCTCGAGTTAGTATTTATCTCGTGATGATACATTTAAATTAATAAACATGATTAACATTGATGAGTATTTCACAACCATCATGATGCATCTGCTTAACCTAATTGACCTGTGAATGGTTTGTAGTTTAAGTGGTTAAGAGCATTTATTCATGCATTTGAGGTCTTAGATTCGATTCCCGCCTTCCCAATATGCTTGTATAATATATATTTTATTTTATTTTAAAAAATGGTTTGGCACATCAACGATTGAATTTAGACACCAAGAATAGACCCTTCAACCCAACAAGTGCAAAGATTTAGACAATATGACCACTTCCCTCCTTTGGCATTGATCTGCAAGTCTAAACTAGGCTAGACTCCGTTGACAAACAATATGACCAATTTCCTCCTTATGCTGGTCAACGGTGTGCCTATGTTGCAAAACCACTTGCCTGTGGCAATTCCTCCAAAAACAAGTGATTGTTTTACCTCAACTTGCGGCCAAGTTGATCCAGACTCTGGCTAGAAGCTTGCACGTTATCCTTTCAGGGTCGGTTTGCTCAATACAAGATTATCATACAAACCCAATCATTTATTTATATAATAACTGAATTTGGTGGTGTTAATTTCCAGAAAGTTGTTCAAGGAAAGAGACAGTGAATGAGACAAACTTGGACACTGCATGCAGGTTGTGTTTAGATTTAGAGTCTTAAAGCTAATGGCTCCAACTGACCAACCGCTACTATATTAGCTTAGTAATTGAGATCAGTTTGTCTTTCTGTATAGCTTTCTTGTACAAATAATACATGTTTTGAGACTTTTTATAGTGTAGGCGTAGAGCCTTCTTCCTATCCGGATGTCACAATGTTCTTAAAATATATTCTATCTACACAAGTTCAATAAACAAAAAATTTTTAAGAACTGACATTTTCTTCAAAATGTTTGGAAAACTAAATGGGGATGTGATAATTGATTCTGAACGAACACGAGAGATTTTGTATCATCGGTCTTTTATAGTCACGTAATGAGTGGTGTAGACATAAATGTATATGCAAAGACCTTTTTGTTTTTTGGGTGTTTCTCAAGTTCAACAAAAACAGATTAGGTTTCTAAAATTTTAAGAAAGTACATTATATAATTTCTAAATTATTCAAAACGGATACTTTTGTGATGAAAACACTTTGGCTTTTAGGAAGAAGACGAGTTAATAGAAAATGAATTTATGCCTTTAATACATAAAAATTACAAGAAAATTCTGAGCTACATGCTCTGGAAGCCTCAAAGACAGTGCTCCCTCTAAACTAAGCATTGTCATGTGGAAAGATACCGCAGTTTCATCTTTCCCAATTAACACATCGAATTCGTGGGGAAAAAAAACAAAGGATTAGAAAACTGGTATATCTGCTACTTAACTTATAGTTCAAGTAATTTCATATTTGCTCAATGTTACAGAGATTTTCAAAATATTTGCATGTCTTTGATTTGAAAGTCGAGTGGTTTTTTTGTCTTTTTTGAAAAAGCTTTGGCTTTTTCCAAAAGTGAAATTTTTTTTATGTCTAAAACCTAAAAAACCTAAATATTTAAAACTCTCTGACACATTTGAAATATTCTAGATCCTTTCTTCAACTAAAAGACTAAAACATTACATCAGATTCTAATAAAAATCTAAATCCCTTGCCTTATTTCTGTGACTAACATTAAGAAACTGTAAATCTTTCTTACATATACTTCTATGTATCCAATTCTTCTTTTCTACGTCCGTCAACCCGAGTGATAGGGAGGAGTGTCATCTAATGTTTCTTCTGTAGGCAGTATGTACTTGCAGGAAACTTTGGCAAAACGCGGATGAAGCCAAAGAAAAGGAAAGAAAGAGAGCTGTTATGTGTCGAACCAAATATGTCGCCTTTGAACGGTACCTAACTCTATAATCTTCTGTGTTGCTGAACCTATATGACTGCTGAAATGCCACTAGCTACTGAAGTTGCAAATGGGCTATCTGGGAGATTAAGTCCTTGGCTGTTCTAAGCAAGAAAGGGAGACCCTTGTCAGAAAAAGCAATGCAAATATAGTAAAGAAACAATAAGAACTTGAGATCCTCCAGCAGAAGGAGATAACTTATACCTTTCATGGTCAGTGTAACTGGTGTCTATATGCTTGTGTTTATCATCACTTGTAGACCCACTGTTTAGAACATCAAACAGATAATTGAAACATTCCGCAGACGGGAAGTTGAAATTATCTGCATTAATTACAACAGTAAGAAACATACTAAACAAGAAAAGAGAAGTTAATGGAAAAGAAAATTGCTCTCTATGTGGAGAAGTTAATAGTGGATAGAAACTACAGACCTTCTGAGAATTTGTGCCCATCCATGAAGTAACTAGAATGGGGATGATTAGCCACAGGCTTTCGTGCAAAATGCAGCTCTGCCAGCCTCATCCTCTCAAGTTCAATCGCATATTCTTGCTCTTCCACAAGCTTCTTCCTTAACAATCTAGAGTTGTCACATCCTACTGACACTGAAAATTTATGCATAAGCCAACATAACAACTCTATGACCAATAGACACACCAAAAGAGATGAATTTGATAAAAGAAGAAACAAAGGCAAAAAAATAACCAATGATGTAAAGAATCCTCATAGGATCTTGAAGTCTCCAATCAAAGAAATTTTATGTGCCACTCACTTGAATAAAAATCTGATTCCATGTCTGCGTGGTGTGAAGAAAAATATGCCGCAGGATCCATTCTCTCTTGGTGCTTTCTGCATAAAGCAAAGAAAGGTGAGATTGAGAAAGAAGTCATTAATATGGATGAGGAAAAGAGTCCTTCCAGCAGCATTTTAACTGCAGCAAAGTACTCTGAAGCAAAAAGGAATCTATACTTTTCCCTGATACAAGCTACTTCACAAGCACAGATTCAAAAACTGTATTGGCAAATATACAAAATCGCATAGAAAGTTCACATTGAACAGCGTCCATCAATAACTTTGACAAGTTTGACTCAGGATGTTCGAATCATTCTATTTGTTACCTGTCAACAAGCTTTGATTTTTCCCTGTAAGGTTTCACAAGAACACGAGACCCACAAACATAATGTGGGTTTCCTTTTGCCAAAATCATTTTCACAGTATCGGCATGGACAAAGGTAACAAACCCAAACATCCGTTTCTGTTGGCAGGGAATCCTGACATCTTCAACAGGGCCAAAGGTACTGCAAAGAAAACCAACACAATGAGAAAACTATTAAAGCCTGAAAATTTATATTGCAAAAAAACAAGTACCTTTTCAAACATAGTTAAAAATTTTGACTTGCCTGAAGTAGTTTGAGACATCATCTTCACTGAAAGTGCTCTCAGCTGGAAATGTTAGATATATCTGTCGCGAACCGCTAACAATAGGACCAGGATCACCTTTCTCATTCCGATGATCTGCGTATTTCGGAGAGTCTTCAGCCAAAATTACTGCATGCTGCCCGTGAGGCCTGTAAATCACATAATGCACTGGTTATATACCCATATATGAAAGAGTATCAGTCTATCAGCCATGAACACTAAACAAAGGCCAAAATTTTCACCTGTCAATCAGCCGAATACTGCTTCCCAGTCGAGCAAGAAGCTTTGTCAAGCTGTAACCAGCCTTGCCATGTCTCTGGCTTTCAGTGAGGTAGCCTTCTGCCTGAAGAGATTTTCCAAATTTGTCATAATACATCATTGGCAGAGAAGCAATTGAAATAGGAATTCCTCTTCTTGATCTAAGCAGGTCAGTGATTTCCCACTCCAACTTCTCAAGAGACCCCGGTGAGATAACATGATCATCATTAATGCAATCATTGCCATACATCTGAGAGAAGCTCTCAGGAATCACTTGTCCGTGGTAATACCTACAGCCACTTCCATGCTTACAAAATCCCTTATTGAAATAGTGACAAATCTTAACTGGAAACTCTGTCACGCTTGAAAATCGTCTACCAGTTCTAACATTTAAGTTGTCTATTTCAGCGTCCCGGTAGTAATCATTAGAGAATCCAGAAATCCCAGAATTGAGTGGTTCTATTTGATCCTCCAAACTCAAAAACTGAGCCTGGTTTTGCAGTTCTGCAATAGAGTCAGGGTAACCCAATGGCATAAAATCTGGGCTTTGTTTAGCAACTAGTTGCGCATCCCAAAAGGCAGTTGGGACTCGAATGGCTGCCGGAGACGAGAAAGGCCTCGACGAAACGGGCAAATAAGGAGCGAAAGCCCCTGTTACTGGGTTCAAAGAAGGTGAGATTGGGGATGCCACTGACTTGGCAGCCAACTGCTGAAGTTCAGTCTTGGCTTTGACTATCACTTGGTGAATCAAGTGCTCTGGAGCCATAGCCAAACGAGCCATCTCCTGCTCACCATAGTCTTGTAAAAGAAGATAGCCTATAATCTTTGTAGCATTGTCTGGTTCTAGTTTCTGGATTCTACTGTAAACAGCGTTTGTATACTCAGAAAAATCCATCGCCAATCTATTTACTGCAAAAAGATCAGGTATTTAAAAACCCAAAGAGAAACAATCATAAACCAAGAGAAAATCAATGTTCTCAATCTACCAGCGCAAGAACAACATAGATATGTCAAAAACACAGAATCTAAGCCCTAATATGTGAGAAGAAAAGTTGAGAAATCAAACAGCACTAGGTCAAAGATTCAGTGAATGAAAGATTTTGAGGTTTATTTATCTTCTGTCAGAAGATTCTTACTCTTTTTTCCCTGCATCCATTAAAGGAAATTTAATAAAATAAAAAATAATTGGTCTTATCACAACTAGGAAAAGCTGTAAAGATTGCAGAACACACCACCAGAGCCAGAAATGGACATTCCTCCAAATCTGGATATTTATGATTTGCGTAAAAATAACATGCTTAAAAATTGTTGTTTCCAAATTTATTCACAGAAACAAAGAGACCCGCTTACTTTTAAGAAAAGATTGCACAGAAAAGTGTATCTTCAAGCACAAAAAGAGGAAGAACAGCTTCACATCCGAACCCAAAATACATTGCCTATTTTGGAAAAAGCTTACTTCGCATCCGAAACCAAAAAAATTATTCTTGACAATAAAATGACAAGGTTGAACTTTTATACATAAAATTCTTAGAAGTTGAAGTCTTTTCCAACTCAAAAACCAACTTGAAAATAATCCAAAAAAAAAATTACTGGAAGTTATTTCATAATTCCATAACCCAAAAACATAAATAAATAAATAAATTCTTCGTAAAAACCAAAAAAGTTTGTGCTGAAAAATAAAAACATACTCACCAATTCATTCAGCCCAACTGCAGCAGAAACAAGTCTATTTCCTCTAGCACACTCTCTGAACCCTTCTTCTCTCACTAAACTTTATCCAGAAAAGTTTTTGAAAAATAATGTTAATCTCAAAACCATACTGACACAAATGATGCTTTTAAAGCACATACTTTGAGAGAGTTCAAATAAATAAAAATTAATTTTTAATTAACAAAAATATTACAGTTAATTAATTACCATTTTGAAGACTCTTGTTTCTTAAAACAAAAAAGGTTTACAGTTGGATTTTCGTATCACAAAAAAGTAGGCAACATATTTTCCTTGATTTTCGACCAGTTGGTTTACAACTGCTTCAAACTACGTAATTACATAAATACCCTTTTTTTATATATCCTAAACCACGTGAATTTAAAATTTTAAAATATTCAAATTAAAAATTATAATTCGGAAATACCAATGTGCTAAATTTTAGAACTCCAACTAACACATGTCGGCAAACTGAAGCCCCTCGAGTCTTGAGTAACACGACCATGGAGTGTGTTTCGTCTTTTTCTCGGGTGGGCCCCAGAATTAATTTACCGTTGGATCTTCCTTGAGATCACCATGGCCAGATTTCAAGGGTGGGGATCCACGTGGGAAGCTTATATTACACTTGGGACGCAGGAGCATGCAGCAGTTTCAGTCTGTTCATGCAACTTTGTCTTTTGATCATTAAAAATGATGACAAGGCCACCAGTGGGTCCCCTTTTTGACATTTCATTGTTGTACCGCATGGGACCCACAGAAAAGGTTGGGGCCCACACCTTTGGCTAGGATTATGCAGAATCTTGTTTCTGGTGAACACAAGATTTATGTATGTATCTATACTGGCTTTTTGGTTTTTTCTTCTGGTATATTTTGTACCATGATAAGATGAGCTTTTTATTTTTTGCCAAAATGCCTGTTTGTTTCTCAATTTGAACTCAAAATTTTATCATTTTTACAATGTGAGTGAGATATGCATCGGTAATCATGATGTTGTTTAGGGTTTAAGTACAAGTACGTTGCAGATGAAGTAGGACCAGTAGGTCACATATGTACCCGCTTATATCCGCATTCGGACTCCTTCTTCGTATATTAAATTAGTTTAGAATATACTAATCGAGTTTAGTCCCGTGAAAAAGGACCTTAACTTGTAAACCAGTGGTCTCAAGTTCGAACTCCATGACACATTCATATTGTGATTGAAAAACTCCTCCCCTTATAGTTAAAATTATCGCTATATGGCCTCGTAAAAAATAAACACAAATTATTGTTAAATGAATAAGAAAGAAAAAAATCTTAGCTTTCCTATTATTGTAATACTCAAGACTATTAACATTTATTTGGGTTCATTATATTCTTTGAAATTACTTGAAAATTGAAGTTAATCTTAGGAAAGTTGAACCATTGAATAGTAATGAAGGGTATTTGAGGTAAAAGGCAGCTGGCTGATTAACTGGGAGATTGACCGATTCAAAAGCCTGGAGGGGAGGTCAACGTTATTAGATAATTATTAAATTATAAATTTAAGATTTTCTCATAATGAACGAATGATAGGCATAAAATTTTGTTTAGATCTAATTACTGATGAGTAAGACGCGGGCTTTCTGTTACGACCCCTCACTTGCTACAAAACTATAAATTTATTTTAGGATTTTTAATTACCTTTTAATCAATAAATAAATAAAAATCAAGCTTTTACCATTTTAGGATTTTGGATTACCATTTACCCCTCACTGCATATCCTGTATTCATTTGTTGTATTTTGAAAATGAGAATTTACACAAATTAAAAAAATAAAATTTTGTTAGAAGCACTCTGTGGCTAGGAAGTCGAATTTCTAGTGAAATTAATCTCATTCTTCGGGTGTGAGAACACATCATGATATTTACTGAAGAAAAAAATGAAATTCAGATCGATCCACCACATGTTGAAAATGATTAAGTCTCCAAAAGTTTAATCAAAATCAAATATGTGATCGAATACCGCCGAGGTTCTCTCTAAAAAGAAATACATCCTTATACAATGATGTATCACATGTAAAGCTGAGGTGGCCATAATGACCTGCATGTGTGGCTGTGGCTAATAAGCAGTTATTTTTCTTAAAACTATTATTTTGGTCCAAATTTTGAAAATATATATGATGTTATATATTTTGAATATACAATCGCAACCCAATTAAGATTCTCTTGAAATGTTATGCAAATGTTTTCATGGATTAAACAGTTCATGTGCCTTTTTTTTTAACGATAGTATTTTATTGATAAAAAAAAAAAAGTACGAAGTCATTATGGTGTCAAATATGTATAAATATTCTCCCGTGATCGCAACAAGAAGTTAAATTGATCTGAAAAGAAGCACGTATAATTCATAAACTGATTAAAATCCCTAATTCAACAATCAAAAGCACGTCTAGCCTTCTTTTCTGCTGAAGAACAGCGAATATAATATAGATTGGATTTATGGATTAATAGACGAAGAAAGACCGCACCTACCTTTGTTGCTTCCCGCCCAATAATACATTATTAAACATTAAAGAAATATTTAGGGCTGTCATGTTTGTGAACTATATATAATCTTCTATACATTTCAGTCATTTTCAATGCCCTGCAGACTTGTCTCTATACATATACAGTTGTGATCGAGAGGTATGGGCCTATGCATATGTGTTCTCATTTGGCAGCTTATCATCATATCAATCAAGTTGACAAAACTTGTATTAAATCACTACTTCAGAGGCTAATCAAAATATTATCCGTTCAATTAGACGATATCATCGCATTGGCCAATAGTCAATAGAATCAAAATTTGATTGCAAGAAACAACATGAATGCTTTATAATCATTGATTAATTGATAGTGATGGTTCAACGCAAACTCACCTATACATCCATCAGTAAAAAAATCATTTGGTTCACACGTCCTTGGTGTTAAAAAAAAAAAGTATAAACATTGTCGTTGTCATGCGTGACTCTGAAGTAACAATTATCTTAGGTATCTTTTATAAATTTTCACTAAGATATAACACGTAATTTTAACTTAGTGTTAAATGGAGAAGCGAATTAATATACATAAATTACTTGATCGAAAGAAGATAACATACTAAAAATATGTAGCATGTCACTTATCGGAAATGAATATTAAAATTATTCATGCTTTTCTAATATAAGTATTTGAATTAAATCCTAACTTCGCATGTTTTGAAGAATAAAAATTTGTGGGTTCTGCATTAAATATGTAATCCAACACGCAACACCCTTGAAATGGGAAATAGAATCAATTACTAATTTTCAATCGATGACTTCTTTCATTCCTAATAAATAAATATGCTTTAAATTGAACAAGTTAAAAACATAATAGTACATAGTACGTAGCTTTGCGTACATCATGTGTTCCATCCTAGTGTTTGAATTTGATGCAGTTTTCATTTTCATGATTAAACAAACATTTTGGGAGATATTTTATGTGCCACTGCCAACAATACCCATTATCTTCCAAATAGGGCAAGAGATTATGCTGTAAGGACTGTGGACTATTTGCCTTTTGTTTCCCCATCAAGTCTCTTTGAATTTGAATACCTGCTTCACATGATTTCACCTAATCATTGTGAGCTTTTTCCAGGCAAGATGTGGTGCGTGTTGAAAAAGCCAAGGCTAGCCTAAAAGAGAGAGAAGGAAAAAAAAAAAAAAAAAAAAAGCGCCAGGGCGTACCCAAAAGAAATTTGAACCACATATTTTTCTCCTTACAATTAATTTGTCTAGCCATATCTGTGGCATCCCCACTGCATAGTGCTTTTTGAACCCACGCCATATATATAGAACTTGAAATGTCACTTTATTTATTAACAGCTCTCAATTTAAATAGAAAATTTTGTATGAAATAGGAATAACATTGTTTTGTTATTTTCAATCGATCATAGAATGTCATGTGAAAAAGTTATCATACTTGTTATATTTTGATTGACCGGAAATAATGAAATAGTGATATCCTAATTTCATGTAAATGTTTCTCCAATTTAAGGGACCACAGCTAGAGCTTAGATGCAGGGTTGTATTGCATAATCGTAAGTAGCATGACAATAATATTGTTAAGAATAAATAAAGTTAAGTGGTTAAGAACAATTATCCTTACGCTTAAGTATTTGAAATTCTCCGTAATACTAATTTGTGTTAAAATAAGTAATAATAAAAACCTGGATATTCTGCCCCAGGTGAGCTGGGGTCTGCTTAGTTGTAAAGATGAAAGGATGTTGGTGGTTCTGCACTAATTAACTTCACTTTAATGATGTCTATTTATTTATTTTACTTCATCAATCTGACACATATCTAGTGGGGCATTTATGGTTCATGGAATTATGGAAGGTAGTAAATGCGTTTCTTCACCAGCTTTGCTCCAGTAATTGTTGTCAATGTCAAAATGTGAATCGTGATCATGTATCAGGAATGGGGCCTCACCCTCATTCACTACAAATGTTTAGTTTAAGAAAACAATCACCGTTGAATTATGGACACAGTTTGTATGCTGAATATAATGACCCGTACCCATCTTCGACGGATCTTATTAGTCAACCCAGGTGCCTTTTTTTTACAGCCCAAAATAAGCCCACCCAAGTCTACCCCCATCATGACATTTGAGGATTGTTTTTTTGGACAATTAGGGCTCGTTCGTTATCATTTTTTAACCCCGTTTTCTGTTTTCCGAGAATAAAAACAACCAAAAATGCATTCGGTGCAATTAAGTTAGAAAACACGGAAAACGAAGAATTGAAAACGATCTCAACTTTCTTCATAAAACGAGAAAACAACTTTTAGACGTTTTCATCCTTTTCAGAGGGAAGTAAAAACAGGGGAAATAGTTTCGGCTGGAACAAGACATCACCATGCTCTATTCCATTCTCACCTTTCTCAAATCCTAGACCCAAAAATTAAACACCCCACTGTCTCTTCCTTTCTCTCTTTGCCTTCTTTTGTGAGACCCACTCCGACTTCAAGGCCACAGCCTTCACCACAATCAGATCCTTGGCTTGAATCAAACTCCTCAACGCCATAGCCTCCGCCACAGCCTCCCTCCACCATCACCACCCAATCACTCAAACCGTAACAGCCACCGCCG